GGGGGGGGGGGGAGGGGTGAAAACGCATGCCGTAGTCGTTAGACCATTGACCTCGGATCCTTACAATGCCGGGCCGGAGCGATAGCCCGGGTGTTCAGAGGGCGGGGTGGGGGGGAATGAACTCGGCGTCATGTTCGGGTGCAGATCTCGGTATGTATTATTTCCAGGTCTTCGTTGAGGGGAAGTCTGGGTGCGGAGACAGTAATGCACGGTTTGTCGTTCGAAGTTGTTGTCGCTGTTCATGCTTCCTCTTTATGCCAGTGTCCTCTCGTGTCCCAAACCGGGTCGATCGCTGGGTGATGCCTGTACTCTGTAAGGTACTCTCGCTCAGATTCTCTACTCAACAGTCCCGTCGCGAGCCACCATACCAACGGTCGCGTGTTTCAAAACGCGTGTTGTTCATCCGATGTGTAATCACCCTTGTTTCACACGTTTTTTACTCGACCGATGTGTGTAGTGATGCGTGTGTCAAAACATTTTTTAATACAACCGATGTGTGCACTTGCTTGTTTTTTTCAAACGTATTTTTTGTGTCAAAACATTTTTTAATACAACCGATGTGTGCACGTGCTTGTTTTTTTCAAACGTATTTTTTGTTGAACCGATGTGTGTGATGGTTCGTGTGCCGTGCGGCAAACAATGACAACCACGGCAGATGTTCGCGTTCGGGGCTGCGACGTTCTTGCTCTGGATCATCGCCCCCCGCGTTGACCACCTGAATAGCGGCATCGAGGAGATCGAGGTGGTGGAACCCGCTAAGCCACCTGTCGGAAACATCGTCATGGAGAAGGTCAGTCAGTGCTTACCCTAACCCTAAGTTTATTCTCTCTTGAAGTCGGGGAGAAGACCGGCCAGAAGAGCTCTAGCCTCTCTTGTTGAGCCCAGGTGTAGAAGAGGAGTCAGTACTCTCTTGTGTTGTCCAGTTGGCCGTGGAGAAGACCAGTCAAAAGGGCCCTAGTCTCTCGTATTTGTTTTGTCCAGGTCGAGAAGGCCAGCCAGTTCTCTGCTTATCTTCGGCTGGGCTTTGAACGTTGTTGGCGTTGCTGTTGCCTCGGGGGGCGTGTCTGTGGTAGCGATGGTGGTTGTGTACGTACGTTGCTCTGTGTTCATCGGGTGTTGTATGCACCTGCCCACCGTCCCTGAAGGTCGACCCGGTAAGTCATGGCACTGCACTGCTGCATTGCCGTTTGTTTTCGTCCATTCGAAACGACGTCGCAAGGGTTATCTTTCCGTGTTCACAGGCGATGTACTGGACTTGGACCATCAATATGACCGTTGTTTTGTCGGCCACTGCGCCGTTGTTTTGTCGGCCACTGCGCCGTTGTTTTGCAGACGCCGCTGCCGGAAGAAAAGACCAGGGGAAAAGACCGCCGTTCAGCAAAGACCGGCGTTCGCGCTGGCGGCAAGGCGCCGAGCTCCACGGTGCAGGGCGGAGACCCCGCGGACGCTGGACCCGACCCTATGACCTACGCTTTGGAAGAGGTGACTAAACGATTACCCTGTAGCAGGATGGTTCAACCCTACAATTGTACAGATGGCGCCCGCAATAACTTGGCGGGGTTAAGAACTTCACGCTCAACATGGAGATTCGGTGGTTTACATAGTTTCAATCGACGCTGACAAACGAGTCGTGTAGACGTTTGTTTTGTTGTTTTGTCCGCGAGGCCCCCGACGATGACGTGGGGCCAGTGGAAATCTTGTCATGAGGACTGGTAGAGGTTGCGTATGCCAGACTGCAACAATTTCCTGTCTCATATTCGTGCGACAATTTTGCTTCTTTTTTTTTTCTGAGCGACGACGATGGTTTTTCAACTCTGGGCCACGCCGAGGAAATATCTGCTCGGCGATCTACCATATGCTGTTTCTGTTCATGTGGATCTAGATGAGTTAATCGTGCTTGATATTGACGATTAGATGTGATTTGTTTGTGCCCACGACTGCATCTTACTCTTCTATTATAATAGTAAGTGGCGGCGGTGGCGGTGTCCGACATTGATGATGATAATTGTTCAAGGCCCACGACGTGCATGTAGATGACGTAGAATACTTGTTGACGTCCATAACTTGGGGATTTGTGATGCCCCTTCGTTGATCTAGATGATAAATTACGGCTATGGTCGGCATTGGTGGTGTATTGATTTTGTCAGGGCCGCAACAAGCAGCTCGGTTCGGTGGACGACGACGACGACGACGAAGAGGTGGTTTACCAGAATCACCAGGTCCACCACGCCGTTATCAACCACAGCAACCCCAACCCGACACAGATGGTGGAGGACCAAGGGGCGAGGTGAGAGTCAAGTCAACGAAACGGAACATGACGCCATCACAGCGAAGTCATCGGCACCACGAAACGGAACATGACGTCCTGACAGTCACGTCACCGAAACACCACGAAACGGAACATGACGTCATCACAGTGAAGTCAACGGCACCACGAAACGGAACATCACGTCATCACAATCAAATCATCACCGCGAAATGACTTCGTCACAGTCAAGTCGATGCCACGAAATGAACATGACGTCATGGCCGTCGGTCGATGTGCTGGTCCATTGTTCCTGTCGCTACTTGCAACGCTGGGTCGATTTTAGGAAAAATAGATACCCAATCGAGATATAACCACAGCAATCGAATGAGATGTCAAGACTTTGTGAGTCGATTATTTTTCTTCAGCAGCCGGCAAGGAAGACGAGCCCCCCGCTGTATTATTTTCACTTATTTTAAAAGAACCTTTCGTCGTGAGGGCAGCCAGCGTGAGGGCCGGGCAGGCAGTGTGGCAAAGGAAGTTGGAGCAGCCCGTGCCACGTCTCTGTTCCTATAATAGTTGCCTGGGAAATTAATAGCCGCGACGATGACAATACCCTCTAGTGGCCACGAAGGACGAATGTACCCTAAAGTGGTCATCACGAGTGTACCTCCTGTTCGTGGTCACAAGGAATGTACCTTGTAGTGGCCACGAAGGCGGAATATACCCTCCAGTGGCCACGACGAAAAGAACGCTTGTCACAATGGCTCATGAGTACTTCGCCCAACACGAATGAGACGAGACTTACGGTAATAGCCATGACTTACATGCATGGATGCGTGTGGTACAGTACAGAGGTACAGGGTTAGGATCAAGAATATCAACCAATGCTCGTCCGCTCTTGGATAGTCGCTATCGCTATTGAATCTAGCTCCATTGCGGTTGCTGACTCATTTGATGTTGTTGTAGCTTACTTGTTGACTTGGTTGTCTTTGCGCTCTCTCTCACACCACCTCATGCGACTTTACTCACTTCCGTATGTTAACTCACCCGACTTACTAGCATACCTCGAATACGTTGCGTCCTTGTTGAATTCCCTTTATGCCCACCTTGAACGTTGTGTAATCCTTCCGCTTCCCCGTCCGGAATGCGCCTCGTGCAGTCCTCGCGCGTTTTCACCCACCGTACACGTACTTCTGTCTCATGCGTTGATTCCCATCCGTCTCCTTGTCTCCCCACGATGATGAAGCAGGCAGCAGCAGCAGCAGCAGCAGCTCAACAGGGGGTACAGCCGTGCCACGAGCGGCGGGAGCTACGCCACCGGCGGTGGTCGTTCCTTCGACGAACGATCCGAGGGTGACTACTCCGAGACGGCCTCGTCCTCGCAGTACTACGGGGGGGGGCACGGGGGGCAATCGTTCATGTCGAGCAGTAGCAGAGGGGAAAGCGACGAGTACCGCTAAGTCGCGAGAAGGAAGCCACGAAGGGGGGGTTGTTTTGGTCTAGCGGTTGGTTGGAACCGGTTTGCAGAGAACGAGGTGCTTTTCTGGTATGTTCAACCATATGAGAGGATTAACATGTTGAATGCGTTTCTGGTGTGTGCAGCCATGAGAGGATGGACATGTCGTATGAGTGCGTTTCCAGCATGATATGGTCAACCGTATGAGAGAATTGACATGTCGGTGCGTTTCTGGAAAGTGCAATCGTTAGAGGATGGACATGTCGAGTGATAACCTTTCTGGTATGTGCAACCATGTCAGAGGATGGGCTTGTCCAGCAGGAGTTTCAGTCGAGAGTACCATGGGCGTTCTGGTGTGTATGGTGTGTGTGTTTCGCACTACGGCAGGTTTTGCCTGTGGCAGCAGTGCTCCTGTGGAATAGAACATCGTTCACTTACTGTAAAACTGCTTTTCCCCGCAGGCGAAACTTGTTTGTACGCCTCAAGGGGAGGGGACGTCTTTCGTTTATCGATCAAGCCGTTACCAAATGCGGCTCGTCATTATACCAGACCTCTTGTTGTTCGCATCCAGAGGTGCTTCTCTGTTGCTGCTACTGGCACAGTTATTGGCTGTAGGTGTTGTGCTTATTGGTGGCTGGCCCCAATTCCTTGCGCGAAAACGGATGTTACGTGATGTCTTTGCATGGGGGGGGGCGGGAGTGGTTCATTCTCGGGGATGGAAACAACAATCGTGTACGTATCATATTTGGAGACAAAAAAGAGACAATGTTTGTCCTGCAGCACCTTGATGCTTTTTTTGTTCTTCTGTTGCCCTTGGAAAATGGTCGGGCGTTGTAGACTGGCGTCCTCCGGATTGCGCATTAACTCCGTACGTGTGTTCTGTGATGTACCACAGTAGTTCTGGCTTGTTGGGTTTGTGTGGATCCGCTGATGATACGGACGCGATGCCTGAAGCCATTAGCAAATCATGCCACTTCGTTGCTCCGCCTTCAGAGCCGTCTTCTCAAGTCGTTCGCGTGTATCGTCCAAGCTGTCGAATCTCGCGGCCTTTTGCTAGGGTACGCAGTAGCATTTGCGCGGTTTTTCGATTACGTATACCGATGTGTTCCCTCATTCGACGGAGAAGGTTGTTACGGTGGGATGCTTTTGGTGAGGGGGCGGGGGCGGCGATTTGTGAACACTCCCCAATGCGCGCCCCAAGTTGTGTGGGGTGTTTGTTGTGTCGTCTATGTTCGTCTTGTCATGAGTCGCGTGCCTACGTAGCGGAACCTTGGGACTTGAGTGAGTACGTCCCTGCTCAGCGATAAGTGTTCCGCTGTCTGTCCTCTGGCCAGGCTAATTATGTTGCAGCGCACGTTGCGTCCTGTCTTTCGCCGTTTTTTTTTCCCGGCCGCGGCCCAGGCAGGCGCGGTGTGGATCATGTAGTGTTTCGGCCTCTGTTCAATGTTGAGTTATTTGTCGATTTGGTGTGGATCTATATCATATTCTATTTTGTTCGTCGAACGTCCCGTTTTATGTCGACGTCCGCTTGTTGCGGGCACGACGGACGTCTCTCGCGGGAACGATGGCGGTGCTGATGCTTCATTTGCGCCGAGCGTTCGGTGATTAACGTTTATGTAGTCGATCTGTGTTGTGTAATGAATCGCCAAGGTAGTAGTTTTGACAGGACAACGTTGACTGGAAATCATTCGGTGAATGTTCGAGGTAGCCTTAATTGATATATATATAGCCTTCAACCGGGAAGAAAAGGCGAACATTAATCGAGGCGTTTGCGTACAGTGGCGATGCTGATGGGGTTGTTGTGAAGTGACCCAATCCCCACTGTCTGTGGTCGGTCGCTCGTGCGACGCCAGGATTGAGGGGGCCCACGTCCCCACTAGGAAATTCTGACACCAGGCAGGCCACCAAGGCATGTTCATGCTATGATGGTACCGACGCCGTTTGGGATCATTTCCTAGGAAAACGGCGATAAATAAAGAGTGTGGATATGACCAGACCGTTGTCGTAACACAACAATCCGCTTGATCTACGGGTCGATGTTGGTACTGCAATATCTTTGCACATGTCATTGGGTACTATGGCATTTTCGGTCAGGCAGACTTGGACACTGAGTTGCGATGGAGCAGTTATGTTTTTGTGGAAGTTCATCGAAGGGGGCGAGGAGAGGCATAAACCACACTGGACAGGTACACTAAAATATCGCGCTATGAAATATCAAACCTTCTACTACTACTTGGAAATACATGACAGCAAGATAAAAAGACAGCAGACGTGACGAAAAGAAATATCGGAAAACAGACGAAAACTTCAACATGAAGCTGAAACGGCCACAAGTGAGGCGGGACGTCGTTGAGTTCTACACTAAATCTCGATCTCTCGCGGCTTGGGCATGCGGATGTGCCGCATCGTTGTGCCCCCTTCCGTCGGCTTGAACGGCCCTTGCCCGCCGTATGGCTTGGGGATCCCCAACTCGTCCGGGATGTAGGCGTTCGGTCGGGGCTCCGCCGTCGTGCGCACCTGGCGCAAAGTTTAATATTATGGTGCACATGAGGATATATCTAGAGTTGGTGCTCGAGAGGGGTGAACGTGGCCACAGAAGTAGACTACGGTGACCAGTACGCTCGGCTAATACCCTGGTCTTCTTACTTTCCATTTTTCCTACTTTTTTCGCATATGACACAACAAAGCTTCCCCCCCTCCACCCCTCCACAGATAAAGAGGCTGGTTTTGATGTAGCGATGGATTCATGGCGTCCTGTAGTGGAATTGTTAGAATACTGCTTTGTTCAATATTTCCGAGTAGATACGTAGATCTAGACCACGCTTTCTTTACGTTACAATACTGACGTTGCAATCTAGACTACAGCAAATTATTTTTTCACAGCCAGTCAGTCGTGGTTACCATCGATGGTGGTATCGGCGCCTCCCCGGAAGTCTCCGCCTCCGCCCTCTCAAGCCTCTGCGTGCTGGCCGCGACGCTCTTCTGTTCGAGGCGGTACAGGTCCCAGACGGCCGCCTCGGTTGGTGGTTCTCCGTGCTCAGCCCTCCAACTACATGTATGCGGCAGGGTTACGGTGCAGCAAGACAGCATGATGCCCCTTCGAACAGGAATCATGCACGCCTACCTTGTGGAGTGAGTTATTGTTTATCGAAGGGCTATGAAAACATCAAGCCAATGGTTTGGGTGGGGGAAATCTTTCTTTGAGGTTCGGTGCGCATGGCAGGTAATTTCTACAGACGCTTCTGCCTACCGCATACATTGAACTGGGAGCAGGAGAAGACGGATGTGTACATCGGTGGTGCTCGGCATGTGCCTCAGTTGGACTTTGTCTGGTTTATTTCTTCGCTTGTCACGAGTTATTGGTTGGTGCGGTATTCATCATGCTCCTTGACGATGTTGCTTTACGATGAAGAGGGAGTGAGAGAGGAAGGTGCTACGGGAGTTCGACAGAGGTCGAAACAGGTTTTACCACAAAATATACCACAGAAACAACTTTCACTCGTCAAATTATGTAAACACATGGACACGTTGATAGGGAGAAGAGTGAATTTGACATGACATACGACTAGTCAAACAACGTTGTTGTTCCAGTCGACGGCTTTTTGTTGTGTTCATTTTTCAAATATATAGTATATGTCGTGCTGGCTTAGCCGAAGGGCCTGCTTCAAGCAAGCGAACGTAAGCCATACGTAAAAACTACCATTAGCGTTGATACACGCATGGAAAGGCTTCATCAATTCGGACTGTTGTTGTGGCCCGCATTAGCTTTCATTGCTTATTGCGGTGGGTGCTTTCTCTTACGTGGCGTCTTGCAGCTCTCTCTCCCTCGCCGTCTTTTCTTGCTGGAGCTTGAGGGCTGTAGCCTGGTGCATTGACAGCTCGGATACAGTAGCCATCATGCGCCTAGTGGTATCGCGGATGCGTCCTTGAAATTCATTCACCTGCAGATTGTCATCATGAAACATTACATTCCGTTTAACCCATACCCGCCTCAAAAACCTGGTTGGAGTCCATTCGTCGCAAGTCATTTTCGGGGTGATGCTTCAAGTTGTACCCAAGAAGCAGCACGTCGATTTTCCAAGCGGATGGAAATTATCAAACTCGCGGCAGGCACTCGTGTATGTGACGTTAGTTCAAGGAGATATCCATCGCAGACAGGTAGTCTACATGTTCCCATGAAGAACATAAACGTGAGTTTATTGTACAAACAAACATGAAGACCCAGTCGTCGGTGTGACCATGTGATGAATCCGGGAAACAATCGGAACTCATTCTAAATACCTCGTTCAGATAGAGGTGAGCAAATTCCATCCATTTCTTCGTAACGTCACTCGCTGAATTCATTTCTCCGTTGGCGTCACTCGTTTCGTGCATAATTTCATTGAGCTGTTCCGTTTGCCTCGAACAGAGGGAGGTCCTTCATGAAGTCAAATATGAGTGAATTCGCCAACTGCACGTTCATCGTTCTGAGTCTTTTCTGTATGGAAATTCTCCAGATGTGATTTCATCATTCATGCTTTGTGCAGTCTCTACGAAAGGCTATGCATGTCTGATATATCTCCAAGAACATCGTCATTCCTTCTTCGACGACGGACAGTCAGGAGAAGAATTCTTTCCTCGAGCACGAAATAGTCGCATAAAACATTGATTTAGCACCGCACGCGACGTATCCTTCCTTTTGGTGCTCCGAGGACACATACATCCATGCACGCACGTACATTACACTCGTTCGCAGTACAGGTAGGTGGAAAATACCTCTTTCGGAGAGCGCCACTTCCCGCGTCATTTGAAGCAATTCTACTGAAGCGCCCAATGAAGAGTTCTTGCTTATTGAGCGAACATTACCTCGCATGCATCTCTTTGAAACAGAATCGCACGAAATCATTGAAGGCTTGAAAAGGAATTGAACCATTCGCCACTAGATTCATTCTTCATTCAGGGCTTTTTGCGATTCACCTTTTTGGAGAGAACTAAGGCTTGTGCGCGACCATCCGAGGCCTGCTTCCGGAGCTTTTTAGTAAGGGAAATCACTTCCTCCAGGACCAGCTCTTTTTCCAGCAAGACTTCCTTCTTCGCACTCAAACGGTCCTCAAGAATCTTTGGGCGATAGGGTCAGTTTCGGGAGACAAAATCAACTTAAGACTCGTATTGGACGCAAGTAATGCATGGTAGCTTGCCTTGGATTTACGGTGTGTGCAGAAGGAGTAATTTTATTTTCGGAACGTCTGATCATCCGTCACCGTAGAGAATAATTCAACATGCATGTTGTTGCCATATGCGAACGTGCGAGAAGATCGAATATATATTTTTAACCAACAGGCGTGATGTGTGGTCGTGCCTGAAGCTCCGTTGTAAACGGTTTCAACTTTGAGTTTATATTGATTGGCGGATAGGTGTCTCATTGATTTTAATTGGAGGACACACGCCGATTCATCCCTTGCCTGCCCTTGAAACATCATTTTACAGCCGAAGATATCTCACTCAGTCGAACCTACCAACGGATAGATATTCTCTCTGTCGTTCGCCAATCAATGTCGACCATCGCACTAAGTCATGCGTAGCCGTGAAATGGCGAGGCCGAACAATATATATGGCGTTCGTTGAAGCGGGTGTCAAGTCTGGAGAACACGCATTCAACACGGTCAAAATCCAATCATCTTGCTGTGTAAGGCGTGTGACTGAATGTGAACAAGAACGGGGTCGAGGCTCATAAAATTGTTGTGAACCCATTCCCAAAAGGAGCCGTAATGTTAACTATCGGAGAAATTTCGTCTGGAAGGAAATGCCATGGTACTCGAATCGGTCCCGAATATATTTTCTACTTGGTGTTGTTTTGAGTACAGTAGCCTAGTCGACGACTTCAAGGTAGATCACATATATGTATTATGTGATCTGCATGTTTTCGTAGTACTAGTATGTTCAATGCACTACGATTATCTCTACGGCGTACTGACCACGATGGTGGCCTCAAGCTGCTCCATTGACAGGTCCTCTCCCCCTAGGGCCCGCCATCTGCATTGCAAACACAACGGGAGGAGTGAGTGCCACAAGTAGAGACTCTCGATCACTTGGCCGCAGTGTGGAAAATTGCGTGGCGTATACACGAAAACTATCAAACGGGACGACTTCAAGTTACGGTATCCGTAGAGGCCATGCAGCTAACAACCATGGAGCACCAAGCTAGGCATGATCGAAATATTCTACTAGAAGGCAATCTCTCACCACCGCCGTGCCCACCCCCTGCCCCCAAGGACACTCCCATCGTGGAAATAGATACGGACCTGATCAAGTTCCCGGGGTCCTCCAGGTCTCTGCTTAGCTGCTCCGTCACTGCCCTCTTCTTTTGCAGCTCCTCGTGCATGGAAACCAACTTCTCCGCACCGTCGGGGGCCTGTTTCCGAGAAGATGGACGCCCGTCCGTTACCGTTTTTTGTGTTTAAACCGATTAATCTACTCGACTTTGTGTAAAGTTGGGACAGATCGTTGAATGCGAATTTGGCGTCCCGCCTAGACGCAAGACCTCCCGGTCGCGATACTCGACGAAAAGAAAATTGAAATGGGCCGACAACACAACGTTGCGGCAGTTGAGGTTTGCACTCCAGAATAGAAAAGACATCCACGGATGGGAGAGAGTTACGACGACCAATTCCGAAGGTTCGACGGTAGGAGGGGGTTTCGTGGGTGTGACTCACCTTGTCTGTCCGGCGTCTAGCGGCCTCGAGGCGTCTTTGAAGCTCCGCAACCTGTGGGGCAGACCCGTCAAGGAATAACACACCAGGGAAAGGCAGTTGTTCGGTTTTTGTTGTCGTTGTCAGTGTTGTCAGTGTTGTCATTGTTGTTGTTGTTGTTGTTGTTGTTGTTGTTGTTGTTGTTGTTGTTGTTGTTGTTGCTGTTGTTGTTGTTGTTGTTGTTGTTGATGATGATGATAATGTT